TAAAGTAAACTATTATATTTTTATATTGTATATATTTATAATAATTAATTATTATACTAAGTAACTTTGTTACTTATTTGTATTGTTTTATATATAAATATATATATATAATATTAAATTTAAATATATATTTATAAATTTTAAACTAAATTTAAATTAAATCTAATAGATGTGGTGACCTAGTAAAGTGATCAAGTTGTTAATCCTCCAACTGGTAGGTTGGATGTTCAAATTTCATTGATAACAAAAATTTTGATAATTACTTATATAATATTTGTATTATAACAACTGTTATTAATAATTAGATTAGAATATCTGTAATGATAGTTACATTAGCATAATTGACAGGTTATAAGGCATTTATATAACAATTATATAATATTGTTTTTTGAGACAAGATTTGTTGTTACATGAAAGAATACAAACTAGCAATTAGGTAGTACAAATACTAAATAAGTTCTTATGATTGTATAAATCTGTTGAAATTAGATAACAAGAAGTTTATTTGAAAAGATCCAAGTAGAAAGATAGCTAAATCTTCAATGGTCCTACTATAAAAACTAGTCTGGAGAAACAGATATTAAGGTTATGATATCTGGTTGTAGTAGCTAGATAAGTAAGAACTTTTAGATTAGAAGTCTTAGAGGTACTACTAATCAAGCTATCAAAATAAACTAAAGAAAAAAAATATCAGGCTAACTTGATATACTGATGGACTAGTTATAGTCCTATATGAACTATCTGGATTAAAAGTTTAGTAAAAAGGCAGATAAAAAGGTAGAAATATAATAAAGTATTAGGGTTATATTATAAAGTAGATGTTGAAGTCTAAGTAAACTTTATAAGAATATAGTAATTTAATAATTAAGCTCTAACTATAAATATTGGTTCTGTCATAGTAATACTTAGATTAACTGTAAAAATAGGTACTAAAGGCTTTGAGAAATTTTATCTTAAGAATAAAATAATCCTAAAATTAAGATAATAATCTAGGCATTAGGTATGATCCAGTGAAGTTAACAGATTTGCAGATTCAAAGGATTTAAAGTAGAATACCCAAACAGGAATATTAGATATAGCAATTAGTAAAGAACCTTTGAGTGAACTTTTTAAATAGGTAATATAGAAAAGTTACATATATAACTAATTATATACTCTTTTTGTAATAGTTCACTAAATTATATTTATTTTATTAAATAAAATTAAAAGATCTAAGAAATCACCTTAATATCAAAAAAAAAAAATTTAAATCTAAATTTGATTTAAAGTTTAATATTAAATTTAAATTGAATTTTTTAAAAAAAAATTATATTTAATTTAAAAATTATTATAATCTGTATTATTAGTTAAAAATAATTATTTTTATTAAAATTTAAAGTTAAAGTGCAGTTTTAAGATAAATAGAAGGTTTTATATAAAATATTTTTTTAAATAACATAATATAGATTACTTTTTGCCTTGGGCATGAGCCACTACGAATTTTAAATAATTTTTGTGAGTTGGAGGAACTGGTACTACATTTTTTAACTATTGTCTTTTTGCTTGTTAGGTCCTGATCTTAGTTTTTGTAAGATTTTTAGAAATGCTAATCATTTTTATTTAGTATACTGTTTTATAGTACAGTTTTTAAAATATAGCATAATAGTTATTTATAACTACTGATACAAGTTAAAAATATTATTAATTTAACTTTAAAATAAATTTAAACTTGAACTAAAGTTTAGTTTAGTTTAGTTTATAAAAATATTATTATTAAGTATAAAAAAAATTAAATTTAATTATAATTATATTAAAGAAAAATTTATTTTGAATAAAATAGTTTATTTTCAAGCTAATTTAAAATAATTCTTTAACCAACTAGATAATTAATTATAATTTTGAACTAGTTTGTTGTTTATTAAACAAACAAAAAAAAATTATAGTAAAAATATTTATAATTATTTAATAATAATGTAAATTAACTAAATACTATATATATAATAAAAATTTTTAATATTAAAAATTAACAAAAAAAAAAATAATACATTTAACAATTTCTTAGAGTATATATAAAAAATGCAATAAAATAGCAATAAATTTTTTGTTATAAAGTTAAGTTTAGGTTATAGATTGTTGCATAATAAAGCATCAAAAATAATAATAAGTTTAAAAAAAATTGCAGTAAAAAAACTAGATACATCAAGAAATGTTTAGTACAATTTAACTTTTAGTAATAAGTTTATTAAATTAATAAACAAAAGCACATATTGAATAATGCGATTGTATCTGCTACACATGCTTCATTGATCGTCTAATAGGATCAAACATATGGGATCTGTGCCTTGAAAATGACGTTATGAAACATAGTAATTACTATGTCCCATAACGTCATTTTCAAGACACAGACCTCATATGTCTACGTAGTATTATTTATTTTTTGTATAATGATAGATTTTTTGATTAAAAAAATTGTGCTGCAGTCTTCATATTAAAAGATTAGTAAAATACTCTTGGGAATTTAACGCTTAATAGTAAATGATTTTTTAATAATAACATTTTTTACTCTTTATTGCATCCTTAAGAAAGTTATGTTCCCAGAATTTGCATATCATAGTAAAATATTCAATTAAAAAATGTATTTAGAATTGGTATATATATATTTTTTTTACAAATGTATATTATACAAGTTGAAAAATTATAATTTAAATACAATTATCTTAACATAATTTTGTAAAAGAAGTGTTAAGACTTCATTTTACCAAATTTGGTATCAATTCATCGCACAATTAAAGCAGAATTACTATTTAAATCTTTTAGAAAATGTACGTATTCACGGTCTCGCTTCGAATATAGTTTACTAAATATTGTTACATATAACGTCATAGATCATAATTTTTTATAAAATAAGAAGATTTATAATTATTTTTTTTATAATGATTAAAAAAAAAAACCCCCAATATATGCAAATTCATATGGGACTACGTAGACATATGTTTGATTTTATTAGATGATCGACCACCCCAACGCTTCATTACTGCTATCGCTATATCAAAAATATATAAAAAGAGTAGGATTAGAGTTTGTTTTTAGAACCCATCAGGAACAGTACTCAAATAACCCAATCAAGATCAGTATCAGTACTGCCGATTCATCAATAATAGTAGTTTTGCGTTTGTATGACCTAAACATACAGTAAATAAAATGTTTTTGTGTGAATGTGAAATTTAACCTGGCCGGGTTATGGGGACCAATTAATTAAGTTTTCAAAGTTTAAAAAATTTATTAATATGTTAGAGTTTTTTTGATTTAATTTATTTAAAAAGTTATACATAACAATTTAAATTTTTTACTAATAAAAAGTGGATGCGTTTACAGTTCGATACTGTATTAATAGAATAATAGATCATAACGCTAAGCAAATTAATATTGTAAGTATTAAAGTAAAAATTGGATATACAACACTAAGAAAGAAGGGTGTTATGGCGCGGTATTAGTGATCAGGATTAAACTCGTTTTAGCCTTAGATTATGCAATATATTAATTACTCCAATAAAAAAAGAAAAAAAAATTACGAATACAGGACATATGTTTTATACCTACTGTACGTATAATGCTGATCAGAATCTAATTGACGCAACCTGCATATCGATATCGATATCGATAGATTTATATATAAACCGATTAATTAATGACCTATCAGAATCAGAATCTCATGATTTTATATCATTCGACTCTCTCAAATAATACAAGTTGTGAGATATGGTTGATATAAATTGGCATTTTCTACAGTCCTAGAACAATTATCTTTTGCACAATTGTCTTTATCTTCTTGCTGAAACTTTAAATATTCAATTCATTTATAATTGCTATGTTAGGTACATAACCGATATGTGTCACCGCTACATATCGTACCAGACATCAATTACTGACTAGTTTTTGAGATATACGTACGTAGCAACTGTTAAGCTAAACACAGAGTGAGTAAACTGGAACTATCGCTATACATATATCGCTGTGACATAACTGGTATCAATTGGTATCACACACATTTTTATTAGTTATTACACAGTTTTGGTCGTACTTAATTAAAAAGTCATATATACTCTTGGTCTAAGATAACGACCTACACTTGAGATACGGATTGAGGATCGATAAAATTTTATGTATTATTATTTATGATACGTTATACCAGGAACTGAATAATTTGTACAAATTAGATTATTATGCGTAAAGACAGAAAGTGGGTTATACTCCAGTGCTACTATTAAATCATATATACATATAAATTTATTACGTAACAATATTATAGTATAATATGCTATATATATCAGATATGGTATATACGTACGTAATTTAACACGGAATACGTACGTAGCATATCCTACGTAGACTATTACCCCAGAGGTAGGCCAAAAACTAAGATTTACCGTTAACTGAGATATATATCGATATATTACATCTACAAGAGGTACGTACGTCTTAAACTATAGTTCTAATTTAGGCCGGGCTAGCGTCCAGTTTAGTTATTTGTTGTCATGATACGTATCATTAACACTAACGCCATTTTAGATGCTAGCCAACGCAAGGAGGTATACTTATCTATTAATGACATGTTACAAGACTCAGTCGAGTAAATAAAAACAAACCTGTGGTGACCAGTCATTGGACAATCTCCAGTAAGATTTTCAAAGGCGTTGCATTAACACGTGAATTCAGGATGTTAACTGAAACTCTTGTGTTACATATTTTCAAGTTAGATAAAGCTGATCTTTTTATTCTGTGCACTCAAACTAAATTTTTCTTCTTTCTCTCTTTATTCTATCTTATCAAATATTCGTTGTATATAAGTGCAACTTTTAAAGTTGGTTTATTTTTAAATAGATTAGTTACTTCCTATTAATATCATTTGACCATCTTTTCTAGACTAACTTTTTAATTTTAAATAATACTTTTTCTTCGCTGATAGGATAATTTTAAGAGATAATTTTAAGAAATACTTAATACAATAACAAAAGATAAATATGTCTCGCACCAACAAAAAGAGAAAAGAGCCATCCTACGAGAAAGATGTTGTTTTAAATAAAAAGCTAGAGAATGCAAACTCCAACTCTTCTGTATATACCTCTGATGAAGATACTGTAGATACGTCTTTATCAGAGTCTTCCGCTAATACTACAAATGTCCTTTCTTCTCCAGCAAAACGACCTAAAAATGATGTAATTAACGGTTCTTCAAGTCCAACTCAACAATCTCCACGCGAAAACAAAACGGCTGCACGGGAAAAAAGCAAGACGACACAAACACCAAAAGAACGTAATCCACCACCAACCGATAGGCCGGTTCGCATATATGCCGATGGCATATATGATTTATTCCACTTCGGACACGCAAAATCATTAGAACAGGCAAAAAAGTCCTTTCCACATGTGTACCTGCTTGTGGGTGGTATGTGTAATGTTATATTAATACTTTATTGAACCTTCTTTTATGTCTTACCGTAATTTTTATTTTTATTTTTTTTTATAATTTACAAAGTCTGTGACGACGAGACCACTCACAAAATGAAAGGAAAAACTGTTCTTAATGAGCATGAGCGTGTTGAATCTCTTCGTCACTGTAAATGGGTGGACGAAGTTATTGAGCACGCACCCTGGGTAGTAACATCAGAATTCATAGAAAAATATAAAGTATGTTGCCATATAATTTGTCAAAATTTAGTTAATACTTTATTAATTAAGATTTATTATTTTAGATCGACTATGTCGCCCATGACGATATTCCATATTCATCGGATGACACCTCTGATGTGTATGCGTTTGTTAAGGAGCAAGGGCGTTTTCTTCCAACTCAACGCACAGACGGCGTCTCGACTTCTGACCTCATAACCCGGATAGTACGAGACTACGATCAATATGTTCGGCGCAATTTAGAAAGAGGAGTTTCTCCTAGGGAATTAAATATTAGTTTCCTGAAGGTATAATAAATATAAAAAAAATAATATAAAATAAAATTAAAAAGTAATTAAAAATAAATAAATAAAATAATAATAATAATAATAAATTATCCTTTAATTTATAGGAACAGGAGATCCATATGAAAAAATCCATCTCTGAAATCCGCACCACGATCCATCAAAATTGGCACGGAACGAAGGTGGAATTAAGCAATGACCTTTCAGAGCTTAAAAATGATTTGGCTCAAACGTTTGCCGTTTGGGAATATAGAAGTCAGGAATTTGTAAGGGGGTTTGCTGCAAGGTTTGGTGCAGAAAGTGTTGTGGTATGTGGATCAACTCGTAAACTATTTTATATATTATATATACTACTTTTTACTCACTAAATACTAATATTATCTATTTAGGATAAAATATTCCGCCGCCAGCCACGCAGAACATCCACAAATGAGTCTGAAACCACAAATGGTGGTTCTTCAGATGAAGATTTAGTGCACCGTCCGAGAAGTGTATCCCCCGTCCGAAGAGTCATTGATTTTATTATAGATCAAAGAGGCTCTAAGAGACAATAAATTCACCTTTTTTCCATAAAAGGCACTTTAGTTCTTTCATATAAAATAAATAATAAATTTCTTATGTAAATTTTTTTATTTGTTTATTATTTATTTCCAATTTAATATAATCTATTTAATTGTGTGATGCATTAATTTTTTTTAAAAAAAAATTTCGATTCTTATAAAATATAAAACTTGAAAACAATACTCAACGTTAATTAACGTTAATTGGAAAGTCTATATCGATATCATTAACGTAAATCGTTAATCATTGTCGTACAAGTTTTTTTAATTGAATTTGCCCCAATTTTTGTTTATATTTGCATGTGCTTGTCGTTCCGTGGCTGGAAAACATTTGTTAAAGGTAATTTTCAGTATCAGCATTAATATTGTTAATACTGTAATACTGTAATAATACGTATCGATATCGACACAATGATAAAATCGAGAATCATATAATTCGTAAAAAAAAAAAAAATATATATCATTTTTCTTTTTTAAACCTGTTATTTCTGTCACTCATCTCATCTCTTTACTTCATCTCAATTATCATTTCAATTATTATGCCATTATTTAATCAATTTTTCTCTAAACTTGTTGCCCTTTTTGGTGGCCAAGTTTCTCAAGACCATTTAAGATTAATCTCTTCATTATTTGTTGCTTATTTAATGGCTTTAATATACAAAATTTTTTTACCTGCGAATAATAAAAATCTCAAACACCTATTTTCAATTTCGTTCGCTATTTTTATATTGTTTGGCTTGTTTGATTTAGCTAAAGCATTTTGGATCATGTTATTTAATTCTGCTTTGACATATGGAATATTATACTTTGTTAAAGGTCCTTGGGGCCCAAAACTCGTATTCTTGTGTGTTTTAGGACATTTAAGTATTAAGTAAGTTTTCACAATATTCATAAATCAACTTCCGTGTCACAATGCAAGCTAAAGATCAATGTGTAACAATGCGGTTACTTTTTTATTATCTTTATATTATTATGTAACAGTTTTTTTTACTTTAAACTTTTGTTTTTTTTTCCCTTATTATTAACAGTCATTTATTCCGTCAATGGAATCAAATATCACTTGAACGTTATGATCCTACAGGTCCACATATGGTGTTGGTCATGAAACTTACTTCTTTCGCGTTTAATGTTTATGACGGACGAAGGCCAATTAAAGTTATTATTATTTTTTTCTTTCCATTCACTAGATTATTATTATTTCCTTATTTATTTATTATTATTATTATTTCCTTATTTATTTATTTATTATTATTATTATTATTATTATTATTGACTCATCATATACTACTTTTTATTATAGGAACTTTCTTCACATCAAAAGAGTAAAGCAATTCGCTCATTGCCTCCATTCCTTGAATTCTTAGGTTATGTATTCTTTTTCGGTGGGTTCTTGGTCGGTCCATCCTTCGATTTTATGGATTATAGGAGATTTGTCAATATGGAAATGTATCGAGTTGACAAAACAGATAAAATTGATAAAACAAATAACGATAAAAATCAATCCATTAAAGGATATTCATATGTCATACCTAATGGTTCTTTTCCTGCTATGAAAAAATTGGCTTCTGGATTATTTTTTATTGTGTGTTTAGTCACTTTCGGAGGAAATTATTCATATGAATGGACTTTAAGTGAAGAATACAAAAATCTTTCGTTTTTTAATAGGTAATTCTAATACAAATAGGATGAAACCCGCGCTGTGAATTAGTAAAATCTGCTACGTAGATCACATATGCTTTTTTTTTGCATAAAAAAAAACTTAACTAAACGCGGATTTCATCTTAACGTTTAACATGATTTACGTAATGGATTTTACTAATTTACAGCGCGGGTTTTACCCAGCCTTATTCTAATTTTTCAATTGTGAATTAAACTTTTAATTTTATTAATTTAAAATAATATATAGATTATGTTATATTCAATTGGCAGCCTTTTGTTCTCGATTTAGATATTACGTAATTTGGTTGATCGCTGAAGGTGCATGTATCCTTTCAGGAATTGGGTTTAATGGTTATGATGAAAATGGTAACGCCAAATGGTAAGCTTTTTTAGATCAGGCGTCTTTTTTTATTTTATTTATTATTTATTATACAATCAAACAAATACTTATTATATTTCTTTATCACGTGACGTTACGCGTGATATAAAGGAATCGCGTTACAAACATTGATTTTATTGGGTATGAGACAGCAGATAATATCAAACAATTACTAGAATCTTGGAATATGAATACAAATAAATGGCTAAAAAATTATGTGTACCTTCGAGTTACACCACCTGGACAAAAACCTAATTTCTTTTCAACAATTATCACTTTTGGAGTAAGTGCTGTATGGCACGGTTTTTATCCTGGATATTATTGTAAGATTATATTCCTGACATAAATTTTTTTTAAACATTAACCATTATAAAATTTAACAGATTAAATTTCATTCTTTCAATAGTGACTTTTATTGGTGGTGCTTTTATGCAAAATCTTCATCGAAGTAAGTAGTTATCTTTTACCTGGTAATTTCCTCATATCACATGGATTATTAATTAATCTTTTTTGGTTTTCCTTTAAAAGAAATTCATCGTACTGTTCGTCCAATCTTCTTAACTACTCGTTTTGCTCCATATAAACCTTTATACAATTTCTTGGGTTGGCTTACTACACAATTTTTTATAAATTATCTTGTCATATCATTTGTTCTACTTTCTTTGGACAGTTCATTATACGTTTGGAAATCACTCTATTTCTTTGGACATATTATTATCATTTTGGCAAATGTTTCTTTTTTGTTAGGTATTGGAAAATTTTGTAAACGAATAATTGCTTTTGGAGGTGGCGTTCTTGATTGAAAAAAAAAGAAGACATTTAAAGTCGCACAAGTTAATGATTTAAGATAAGACACGGCCGTACAGCTTTTCTTTTTTTTAAGTAAAAAAAAATTTTTTTTTTTTAGATTTATTAAATAAATTAAAAAAATAAAGAACTATGCTACGTTCCGAATCTAGTCAAATATGCTAGGTTCAAAGTCTAACCATCCAAAATCTAACTACCATACTATGTTCCAGAGTCTAACTATTAGGGTATCTATTTTTTTGTGGCCCTCGGCCGATTCGATTAAGTTGGTGATTTTGGTATGTTTAGGTAAAATAGTGATGGCAAAAAAAAAATTCGCGACTACGTCATCTCCGACCTTTCCGAACTCTATTGGAAGCCTTATATCAATTACAGGTCACCCTCGTTAATATCAATTTTAAATCATGTTGATAGTGATATTAATGAGAAATCATATTAAAGTTGATATATGAGGGAATTTTAATATATAAAAATTTATAAAAGTTTGTTTTGTGGCTTAGGTTGATATTAACGAGGGTTATCTGTATTTAAATTTATATTAACAGTTATATAATCAATACCGATACTGTTGATTATAATACACAGTTAAATAATATAAATTCGCATAAGGCTTCCGAAAAGGTCGGCGATGACGTAGTCGCGAATTTTTTTATATACGTTTCGCACAAACTAAACACACTAAACATGTTCTAAAATAATAAAACTATCAGTGGAACAAGTATAACATGTAGTATTTTGTTTTCCTATTGCTACAAGAACTAAAGATTTATAAATTTGTGTTAAATATTAGAAAAGGCATTACATAATGCCTAAAAGAATTATAAATTTCATATTGAATTTATTTGAAACAGACAATCTAAAATCATTACACATTGGAGAACTACAAAAATATGGAAAGTAAAGGATGGTATTGAACAGAGTGAAGTGTTATTACCATTAGTATAAAAAATATTTTATGATTCACTACTAGAATGAATTCAAGAGAACTCAAATCTTGAATATATAATTGAAATAGATATTCTATATAATTACAATCTTAACTATTACAAGAAAATGATATGGAGGCAAGCAGTAGTAGCTTTTGTTGATGACACAACATAGATTATTAAAAACAAAGAACAGATAAAGCAGACAATTTAAATAACAGAAAAGTTCTTTAAAATCAATGATATTCAAATAAATAGAAAAAAATTGAGACTAATGATTATAAATACAAAAAAAAAATAGAAAATAGAAAGATACAAATAGGCAATGAATAGATATAAGAAATGAATGTAAATAAAATAATAAGATTTTTAAGAATATGGTTTAATAATAAGTTCAAAGAATTTATAATCAAAACAAGAGCTCAAGAAGTTATATATATAATAATAAGAAGTCTTAAAACCAAAAAAATAACAATAGTACAAGTAGTTTATATTAATAACATGTATATAATATCTAAGCTTACTTGTTACAGATAATAAAATTATCTAAAACAGTAATAAAAGCAATACAAAAGCTAATTTTAAGAGTAACAAAACACAAACTTAGAATTACAAATACAATAAATAATAGTATTATATTATATAGAAATCTTGGAAATTACAACTTTTTTTGGCACTAATTATTAATAAAACAAATTATAAGTTTACATATACAAGTTAATACTATAGGTTTAGAAAAAGTCTTTATTAAAATATAGATCAACTATAGACTTTTATTATTAGATATATCAGAAACTAATTGGTATTATAATTTGCAATAGGTATACAAAAGTTTATAAAAAGACAATCTAGCATGTCATGTTATATTTAAAACTAAAAAAATACAAGTAACAATGAGTTTTACAACTTTAAACCTTAATATAAAAAAAAATATATAAAAATTACAAATCTACTGGACAATGATTTTACTAAAAATACAACTAAAAATTTAATTTAGTTTATATGAATCAGTTAATTTTGAAGTCAGATAACAAAATAATTTCATAATAACAACTTAAATTATTATGAGAAGAATTAAGCAAGGACAGAAAAGCCAAGTAGTTCATAAAAATAAAAGAAAAAATATTAAAAGACAAAGAAAAAAAATTATTAAAAACATGTTGAAGAATAAATGAACTAAATAGTTTTACTTAGTTTAGATCACAGATAAAACTGTCTGAACTTTAATTCTTGTATATAGTTTTTATTTTATAATTTACAATCTTAGTATATCTTAGTATATAGTATATTAATATATATAACTAAAATTACTAATAAAGATATGAGCAAGACCTTATCTTAATACCAAAAAAAAAAAACTAAATAGTCTTATTCTTAAAGTGCTATCAAAACTATTTTTTCATAACAAAAGAAAAAAAAGATAAATTTTAATAAAACTAATAAAAAAAAAAAATATAAAGTTAGTAACTGAAAAAGTTGTAACAAAAGTCTTAAAAGATTATTAACAGAATACTAGCATAAAGTAAAGCAAATAGAAATAGTAAAAGTAACTTTATTCAAATATAAAGGCTGCAAGTTAAACTAAAGTCAAATTAGTTCAGACTATAAAAGATAGATCAATAAAATTAAAGTACAAGAAGAGATTTTAGACTATATTAGAAAGTATAAACAACAAACCCTAGAGTTAGACTAAAAAATAATAAACTCTTTACAAAAAACAAAAGAAAAAAGAGTACAGTAAAATAAAAATAAAGCTATTAAAGTTATATGCTATAATTTAAACATTGAAATCATCAAAAAATAACTAATTAATTAGCTAATAAAAAATGAATTTATGAAACTTAATCAAAGAAACAAAGCAAGACCTAAAGAAATATTTATTTTCTATACAGATAGTTTATTAAGAAAAGTATCAGAAAAAAAAGATTCAATAGTAGACCAATTGGAATTAAGCTAGATGCAACTAAATGAAAAAGAAAAAAAATATTAAGTAAGAGCTGTTTTGGTATACAAAATTGGTCATTATTAACAAAACCAGAGCTCTTAGCTATTTGATTTGTTATGCTAGTAGTACTAAAACAGAGAAAAGTAAAGATAGCATAACAGGGTGTAGCAACTTAGTAAAGTGGATAAGTTGTCATACCTCCAAGCAGTAGGTTGTAAGTTTAAAATTCACCAATAGTGAAATTTGGATAATCATCTATATAATATATAAATAATATTATGGCGACAGCATTCTGTTGATCAGTTGGGATAGAATATCTGTAACTATAGTCGCACTAGCATGACTGACAGGTCTGGAGCATCTGTGTAACCTGTTACATAAAGAAATGCAAATCAGTACTGAGTAGTGCAAACCTAAAATAAGTTCTCAGGCCGTGTAAATCCATAGAACTGGGAAGCCAGAGCCCACTTAGAAATTCTAAGCAGAAAGGTAACACAGATCTTTGATAGTACTACTGTAAAGGCTAGACCTAGGAAATAGATACCAATGTGAAGGATTCGGGTAGACAAGAACCTTAGGTAAGAGGTACTACCAATCAGGCTGCCAGATTTCAGACTGGAAAAAAAGAAAATTGGGCCAGCCTCAATATACCAAGGACAGATCACAGTCCTACCAAACTATCTGAATTGGGAGTCTGAGTACAAAGCAGAGGTATACTAAAAATACATATTACAACAATAAAAATTGTTCAAATGTACAAGCTTAAGTAGTTGTTTAAAGAATAAAAAACATGAATTTAAATAATAAAAAAAATCAAATAAATAAAAGTGCTTATGGTCTTAAAAGAACTATATATGCATCGAAGTATTTAGGAAAAACTTACTGAATGATAAATAGTAATAAGAAACTGCTTACAGATTTAAATAAATAAATAAATATTATTGATTAAA